TCTCTTTGGAGATTAGATTTACAGAAGATCAGTATCAGGTCTCCTTTCGAGTGCAAAGTACAAAAAACTAACTCTCTTCCCATTGTTTTTTCCCTTTGATTAAGAGACAAAGGAACCCATGACTGAACTTCTGCTACTTGTCAGATGTCCTTTTGGCTACTCTGCTAAACTGCACAGAATACTGTGATTTGATTTGCTTCCTCTTGTTTTTTCTTCTTTTTTTTTTTCAGTCATAGTGGCCTAATAGTGAGAGGAAATATTTGAACCCTGTTTTTCAGCAGATTTTTGGACATTCTAACAAATACTTCATGAAAAGTCATATTGATACAGTGAGGTGTAATCAAGTGGTCTTAATGTCACTCTAATATTTCATATTTCTGCAAGTCTGTTGAAAGTGTATCCTTCTGCAAACAAGCTCAGAATCCCTTTAACTGATGTTACAATTTTTTGAGTCAATCTAACACACATGAAATCTAAGCTTGGCTCCTACTTCTCCTTTTCTTTTTTTCAAATCTTATTTGTTTTCACCACCACATTTAATGCATTGGTCCTAAATATCCTTAACAGAGTAAATACATTAAAGGCCTTGTGCTTTTGAAGCATCCTGTCACAAAGGGGTTTTCCTTGGAATATAACTGACACCTTCAAATTTTTCTTCTTTACACCAATAAATACTCTAATGAGATCATTTGTGCCAAAAGCATTTTCCCAATGCCAGGCTAATGAGGCAGCATGAGCAGGGCTTTTTTCTTTGATTGAACTTTGGGAATGCAAATTCCCTTCTCACCCTCCTTAAGAAATTTTGTTTTTGATAGATATGGCAGAGAAACTCTGGAGAGACACAGCTCTCTTTAAGTACCTTTATATTATCATGAACATTTTCCTACAAGAATGCCCAGGTTTTGTGCTGCAAAGTGTAGTCTTAAAAATGGACAGTCCATGTTGGGAAACCCAATTGCACTGTAGACAGAAAAAGGGATTTCAGACATAAGTGGAGCATGAAGGGGCCAACCATCTGACCAGGAATTATACAGAAAATTCCCAGCAGGTGTCCATTTCCCAGAGTTAACAGAGAACCTTGGGAAATAGAAGATAATGTAGCTAAGCCTTGAAGCCCTGTTGTCTTAGATGGCTGAAGAAATTAAAGATAGAGTTTTTCCCACAGCTTCACTCCAAGTACCTAACTCAGGAGGAACAGAACCCAGTTTTTCCTTTGTGCAGGGCCTTATGTTATGTCTGGTAAACAAATTTATACATCTTATTTTGCAAACCTACAGTCACAGAGATTAACAAAGCCCAGAGGTGACAAAGTATGTAAATTAAACTCTTCCTCAGCAGCCACCAACTCTACTGCTTTTCAAATGAAAAGCATAAAAGTATATACTTGACTATGTTTATGTACAAGAAGAAGTTCTATATCTGCAAAATGTCTATTTACAAACAGCCAACTCTTTTTCTGAGAACTCATATAAGGAAATTATTAAAAGTAAATTAATAATTCAGAGATCTCATCTGTATGAATCCACTTCATAAAATATGTGTATGTGTGAAATGGAAGTCAACTGACCATAAAACAAAGCAAAAAGACATGAGCTCACTGTGGAAGAAAAGCTATTCTTAGTCAAATTTTAAAGAAATGCATTCTATTCAAGGTTTTCAAGCATGTCATGCTCTATTAAATTGTAAGAGTGAAAACAGGTTCTGATTTAAGAAGAGATAGCCCAGCAAGATGCAACGTGTCAGAAATGTAATCGTGTACTGGGTGCTGATGCTGTGCTTGTCTTCAATTTGTTGGAGCTGACCAAACAGGGAAGATGATCACAGCCAGGAGAATCTCAACCCTCAAGAGTCCAATCCTGCATCTCTTACATACAGCAGCAATATTTCCCCCTTGTGTAATCAATAGAGCAGTTATTTAAGAATTCACAGGAAGTAAATCCCCCAAAGTACAATTTTAGTCACTGGGGCAGGAGGAGACAGCTATCGTTGGAAATTAGGCTATAAAGATTAAACTCACAAATAATGTAGGCATGGATAGGGTACCTCACAGTGGCAAATGAAGCCTGGGGGTCATGCAACTAAATATGTATCACAAATCTGGCTCCAAGTGCTGGTAACACCCACTCCTGTCTAACCATGTTCTAGTAGAAATGGTGAACCCAGTTACCTCCAAGGATCTTGACTTGTCCCTGAGACACTCATGAGTTCTCTTGTGGCACAGCAACTTCTTCTAGTCCAAGTCTCACACAGCTCTTTTCATGTCATGATTGCCAAAATCTGATATACAGGTAGCTTGAGAGAAGGCAAAGAAATGTATGTTTAAATAAAAAATGAAAACTATTTTGGGGTTAAAATGCTATCTCCAACACAAGGTTTGACAGCCCTGGTCATTTGAAGGAGAGAAAGCAAAGACAGGTTTTGACTTCTGTAATCTAAAATGGCCAATCTTAGGCTTCTTTCAACGTCATTGGAGAAAGGCAATGCCCAAAAATGGGGGCTGCAATACCAAATGAGGGGTTACAGTGACTAAGCTGGGTGCAATCTGTGGTGATCAAGTTTAAAGTGCTAACAAAATCTTATCATGTAGGAGAACATTCATTTTACCCAAATTTAGTCTTCTAGGTACCAAGAATATACACAAACATTGACACAGTTTATTTCTATAGCCTGGAGACCTGTCCATCACTGGGAACAATTAAGACATCCTAAAAAAGGAGTGTAAGCTTGGTGAGCTGAAAGGCTTTTGGAAGATACCTATCACTGACCATTGAGTAAGTAGAGGATGCCAACCTTTTCCCTCTTAGTCTCAGGACTGATTTTCATTCAGAAGACTACCTTTCTGACTAAGATTTATAATTCCAGCCTGTACCACAAGATAAATGCACATGTAGAGAACACAGAGAAAAGAGAGTACATTGCAAGAGTCCGCCTTGCCTGGAGCTTTTCAAAATCACTTGAACCACGGTTTGTTCTCAAACTTCCCAGTTTTGATGAGGTCCCCAGGTACCTCTGGAGTGAGAAAGGAGAGCTGCACAGCCTGTTCAAGTCTATTCTTCTCTACAGGCTCTGAAAAAGGACTTCCACAGTGACATGAGAGAGACTTATTGAAACCCAGATGCCTTCTTTCAAGGTTCCTTCTGGTGCAGGAGGAACAGGCAGGTGGCAGGAGGTTCCAGGTACAACTTGCCATCACAGGCTCTTCTTTTGTATCCTCTCTGAGGTTAATGACTGCTTGTGCCCACAAGCTGTACTGCTTTAGCCATTCCAGCACAGATGGGCATAGCTACCCTGAAGAGAATATTTAGGACACACGTCTATACTGCCCTCAAAAGTATGGAAAAAATACCTAAAATTGCTTTCAAAGTTATTCCTGTGTCTCTTTTCACTGCCAAGCCAGAGAAACAATTCATTGGTTCACTACTGACAGTCACAAGAAGTGACTTTTCATTGGAAAATAGATGCTCCTGGTGACTTTTGAGGGTGTTGCAGAAAAATGTTAGAAAAGTAACAGGTCCTTAATATCTGTGTTCTTATGGTTATAATCATGGTGAGGAGGACCAGAGAGAGGCCCTCACTATGCCAAAAAAACTCAGCAACTGTGCCATATTTTTCATAAATTAGAACGTCTTGTATCTAGAGAGGGGTTGAACAATGGACTCATTAAGCTTCAATTCATAATGCTTTGCTCCTGTACTGCAGTGCTCAGGAATGGAACAGTTCTGGAAAAGTCAGCCAGAAGAGCCAGCACGTGGTTCCAAAGTACTCCTATTTACCACAACAACTACTCTGGATTGGCAGTAAATCCAAAGGCAACAGGAAAAATGGAAAAATAAGGAAAGGAACTGAGCATTTAACTTGATAAACATCTCAGGAGACTTGCCTGAGATTGTTTGATGAGTACATGGGCTGCTTGTCAGTGTACTTACGTCAACCCTTGCTTTTCTTCTAGGCTTTTCCTCTTAACCCATAATATGTCAAGGTCATATTTATCTGGTGTTGCCCACACAGTTAAAGGTCATTTGATGATGGGTAAAAGATAGAGAGAAAATCTGAATAAATGTCATTTGGAATCTGAGGGAGGGAATAAGAAGAGTGGCTCATTTTGAGAACAGTGAGCTTTCTGAGCCAAGGAGGTCTGACGTAGCTGATCTTTGCTCCAGAATTTTGTCTGTGGTGGGTTCTGACTTGCAGAGGGCTAGGAAAATAAGTTGAAGGGAAAAACAAATCAGGTGGCTTTCCTCTCTTGCATTCATGCTGCCAAAGGAATATATAAGCAAAACCTGCAAAAACTCTCAGGAGACTTGTTTCCCTTTGAATTGCTCTGTGCTTAGCACTGGTGTTTTTCTGCAAGTTGTATGTTGCATATGACTAGGTCATTTCATCACAAGCATGTGTTTTACATGCCATAGAATAAAATTTTTAGCTCCCTTGAAGTTCTTTCTTGTCAAAAGCTTTGCTTTTGTTTTAAAATTGCTCACGTGCTTTGAATGCAGAGTGCCCTGTGTCTGACTTCACTACTCCATCAGACATCGAGAGGGCAGATCAAGGGACATAATGGGGCAACAGATTGGCCAGGTTTGTAATTGCCTGTTCCTGGCTCCTCTGGAAACAATGGAGGAGCAGAAGCAGCTGGTCTGCAGAGGAGATGAGGCGTGACATCTCCCTGGGAGCGCTGCCTGCCCAAGCACCCCTGGCCCTGCCAGTCCTGGTGAGGCCAGGCCAGCTCAGAAGGCTGCTTTGAGGCTCTACTCTGTTCCTGACTGGCTACCATTTGTTACCATTGCCCAGCATGGGCATCTTGCTCCAATCTGCTGCACTTCTCCATGGGCTGGTTCTGACAGGAGCACCAATGATGCTCATAGGGTTGGGTGCTGGACAGCCTTGGAAAATAAATTTGGCCCTTAGTGTGTTACAAGAGGAAAACAAACAACATAGAAAGTACCAAAGTGTGGCTTAAACAAAAAGGCTTGCTAAAGACTCATCTTTCTCCATGTCCCCAGCTGGACTTGCTGAGTTCATCGATTTTAATGGAGTTATTCCATCCTACCTAGCTGAGATTACAGCCCATTAGATGATGTGTTCTGGTGAGTGGTACAGTTTATTTTCTCATTTGTTGGTTCTGCCATCTGGCAAAGCTTTCTTATATCCTTCTCCATTCACTATCCTCTGAAAATGTATTTTGTGTTCTCTATAGACTGTCACTTTTCCCTTGCCAAATATTGGCTTCATGACTGAACACTTCTAATTCCTTTTGAAATCACTTCACATCATCACTTTTTTCCCCCTGACAATACCATCAAGTGTCTATTATGAGATGTTGGATTGTGTTGCCAGGTGCACTATGAGTTAAAAGAATACAGCTCCAGCTTGGCAAACATTTGTGCAGCTTCACGGCTTTAATGGGTCCTGGTGACTATAAATAATAAAGGGAGACTAAATAATGCGCTACTTCCTGTAAGTCACATGTAGGTTGTCTCCATTTTGGAATTCACCTCCTGAGAGAAGGAGGCCTGCCTTCCATTTTAGGGCAGACAGGGATCATCCTGTGATGGCACAGGATCATCCTGTACTGGATGAAAAGTTATGGATGTCACATACACCAGAATGACACATTTAAACAGAAAACTCTTTGTGATTGATACAAAACACGTTCTTCCAAAAAGGCTTGTGTTCACCTACTGAATTTTCTTGCAAATATTCCCACATCTACTTTCCTTTGACTGGATAGCTACAAGAGGTTGTTCTAAGTCTGAAAAAGTGCTGCTGAGCTCTTCTCTCTTTGAGACACACCTGAAGAAATGCAACCACAGGTACTGGTTGGTACCTGTCACCCTAGCAAACAGGAAAGGTGGGAATCAGAAGCATCAGTGTGAAGCCTCACAATCCTGTTCTGCCAAAAGAGTTAAGGCACAGCACAGGGGGTTACTTTGAGCCTTCGGTTCTCATTCAAGTGGGAAGTGCTCAGCAATTCTTGGGTGATGCTCAGAATGTTTCAAGGCCAGGTCTTTTTTTTTTTTTTTTTTTTTAAGATATTATGTATGGGTTGAACCACTTAGAATGGATAAACAACAATTTTAAAATAAATTGTGAATATTCAGGGTAGGTGACCTCTAAGAGCAAATAAAGCAGAACTTTTTCTGCCCTGGAGGGTGTCCTTTGGTTGAGTCTGTGTTTGTAAAATGATTAGAGAAAATGAGATATATTTTAAAAGACCAGGAGCATCAAGAACCAAACACAAGAGAAAACATTTATACACAAAGGCAGGGTGGCAGAAGGGCCATACAGAGAGAGAGGGAGAGAGAGCTCTTCTGCATTTCACTGCTGCTTCTTTCACACTTGCAAATACACCACTGAGAGGTGAACTGAATGAAGTAGAAGCAAGGATGGAATGCAAAAAGGAAAAGCTGTGATTCCCTAATAACTGATTGGCAAGTTGGTGTGCTGGATCAGTGAATGTCCTGAATCATTTGCAGATCAAGATCAGAGAGTAAAGGGGACACAGTTCACCTAGCTGGGCATTTGTTCAGGGCTTTGACTAACTGAGGCGTTCAGAAAACCATTTTTTTTCCTCTTCTCACTTATAACCTCTTTTCACTTCTGCTCCTTCCAGATTCAGCCATGTACTTGTTAGTCTACCTGCCTACTTCTTTCTTTGTTTTATCATGTTAATGAAAAACTGAATTTCAGTTTCTTTCAGTTGTTTTTACCAAGAGGAAATCACACCTAAGGATTTCTATCATATTTTGTTCCATTTCTTTTAAGTGCTAAACATTTTATTAGGTGAAATAGAAAAAAAAAATTGCATTTTGGCAAAAATAAGCATTGACTGGTGCTGTGCCTGATCCTATTTCATATTTTGCCTCCATCTGATTGTAGCATCTTGTAATTAGAAGACCTATGGAACTTGCAATCAGATTATTCTGGTGTATATGGTGTTCATATCCAAACAGTCAGATATAGGCATCCCATAAACATAAATCAAATAAATCTGTAGAACAGGAGAAATTTTTCTTATCCAGATATCCAGAGCTGTCTGAGACCTCTCCTATAGTCAAAGTGTGATGCATAGCAAACAGCTTGGAGGAAGAGTAGCAATCAATACATCAGGGTCAAGAAATGAAAAACAGGGCTATAAATTTAAGCATCCCTGATGCCACAAAGCTTCTGAAGCAAGTTTGACACGCCTCTCGTACTTTTATGGATGCAGCAAAATCATGCCTGAGATTTGCAAAATCCCCACTTGAATCTGCAGCTCTGTCAAAGTCTAAGCTGACCAAGGCTGCTGTTACCTCTTGACTACCTGCCCCTCTGCCCAACAGCACTGCTGACTGGATTTTCACCTCTGCCTCACACTGGCAAAACCCATACCTAAACCTGCAGTGAGTCAGAGAGCTAAACTGGAAGGAAATGCTTCTTTTCCCCTCTGCACACCTCCTGAAATGATTTGCTTGTTTCTCCCCCTTAACTGGCTCTTTGTGTGGAGAAGAGAAGAGAAGAGAAGAGAAGAGAAGAGAAGAGAAGAGAAGAGAAGAGAAGAGAAGAGAAGAGAAGAGAAGAGAAGAGAAGAAGAGAGAAGAGAAGAATGGAGAGACCATGTAAGGAAGGGCAGCTCCATTTTAGATCAGGTACTAAACTGCTGGGGAATTGCAGCTTTATGACCACAACCCCACTCCCAGTCATGCATATGTGTGTATGTGGATGTTCCAAAAGGACTGCACATTTACTCCACTGTAGTGGCATATGTTTACTTTGATAAAGGATTCTTGAAGCACTGGGTCACCTTGATTCATGAGTTAATCATAGGGAATCATCATATTCTTTGGCATTTATACTTCCATTAAAGTACAAAAATTGCTCTTATTTATCATGGTTTTTCAGGAAATCTTCCTAGTAGGTCCAAAGTGTGCAATGTTTCCTTTCTTCAGTCCAAAAATAGTCTGAAATTATACTGATGAGTTATAAACGCTGCCCAATTTCCTTGTTTCTATTCAGGCTTTGACTCAAAACCTTATTGACAACATTATAAATGTCAACATTTGATACATAATACATGAATACATTTTAGCAGATGGAGAGGAATAGAAATGAAGCCAAGATGCAGTTGAAGCTGGGCCTGGAATTGCTGGAAGGAGAAGGATGAAGAAAGGGGAGATGCCAAGAAGGAAGTAGAGCAGAAAGAGAGAAAGGAAGATGGGAAGAAGGGAAATCACTCCTACTGAGTTTCACTGAATCAAATACTAAAAGAGTGAAGGAATAATAAACAATCTGTAGCAAATGGTGAGGCTTTGCCTTTGTTCATTCTATGAAGCTCTCTGAGACAAACAGGAGCTGTGCTATGGACAGAAGGCAATATGTTTGTCCATACTCATACTGTAGCCCATTCTCCTTATCCAGGGGTGGAGTTTGTTCTCTTCCACAGGATGAACAGGATACCCCCTTGGTCAGAGACAGCTCAATTGAAACAGACTGTTAACCACCAAATTTAGATTAGAAAGGGTAACCCACTGCCTAGGACCAACAGCCTATACCAATACTACAAACTGCACTAACCTTCTGGAAGGGTTTTGCCATAACCAAAAATTATGATCATTCTACAGTAAACAGATATGGGGTGCTACCATTCATCACTCAGTCTGTAAAAAAATTCAAACTATTTTAAAAGGCTAATTGCTGTGCAGCAGAAACACGTGGCACAGGGATGAACTGCCTGCAAAACAGTTTTGCAATCTGCCAATGCTAAGCTAACTATACTTTTGGGGGATAACAGACAGATGCCAGAGGACAGGATGAGAAACAAGGTGAAAGTAAAAGGTAAACTGATGATTTCACATTCTGGGGACCGGGTTACCTAAAGCTTTTATCATTACCTGTGCATCAAACAGGCTGCATTTAAAATTTAAGTGTATTACTTCTGATATTCTCTATTCCCATGCTTTTCTTTCTCAAAATATAAAAGAAAAACAACAATGCAATACTAAGAGGAAATTTCCCTAGAAATTCCCTAGAAAACAAGGAATCTTTTCTGTTTTAGATCCTTGGTAGCTCCATTTTCATAAAGCCGATCAGTTTGTCTGCTTTCGGTCTCAGAATTGCTTTTCTAGCCTTCAGCAAGTGCAATGCACAAGTATAAGTCTGACAAACTTGATTTATGTTAAGAAATAATTTTTCTGTTGTCATAGAAACCACTGCAAGATGATCCAGGCATGAGTAAAAACTAACAATGAAAAGCGGGTTGATGGTTTTGCCAATGAAATTCCTTAGTTGTTGATGTCCCATCAGTAATTTCCTTGCCTCTAATACAAAAAGGGCAAAAAGATGGTATCCAGAAGGTTTGCTGAGAGGAAAAACTTGCCTAGAGGGAGGCTTCATTTTCATGAGACAGGCACATGTCTCAGCCCAGAAGAGGATGTGCAGCCAGCCCAACTTCTCCTGCAAGGCTGTAGCAGGGAATGTTCTTTCCAATAGGGAGCAAAGCCAGACTAGAAATCCCTCAAGCCTGTTATAGAGACATCCATGCCATGGTGGAAAGAAACAGAATAATTTCCTTCTCTTATGCCATGGGTTTGCTTCCATCAGCAGGAATGAATCATATCCACATTTTAATGTTTGCACGGCTCTTGGCACTCCACTATGCATAAACAATTTCTGCTTCAATAAGAGGAAGCATTCACCTGGACAGCAACAAATACAAGGGAGTAAAAGAGCCAATGAACGCTGAGCATCATGATATGTTCACATAGAAGCCTCTGTACCCACCCCAGCACTGCCTGCCCACGAGCTCTGTGACACAGCACAGGCAATTTACACCCTGCCCAATATAAATGGTCATTCACTGCTGTTTTTGCACAATGGGAGCTGTGTACTACAACACTTACCCTCTACTCAGTCTCCACCATTAGTCATTGACATGTTAGGGGTGTTTATCCCCAAGATTTACAAGGGCAATGAACATTGCTAGTACTTGCCACTACAGCTGTCAGACTGACTTGACATTATTTCCCAAGGGAAATCTGTTTCTGCATCTGCTACTGTTGGTTGAGTTTACAACAGGTTTCAGCTAAAGGGCTGTTGCTGCGCATCCCTGGCCGCACAAAAAAGCAGCAGGACAAAAGTATTACTGCAAAAAAAATCAGAAAACCTGTGCATTTTGAGTTCCTTTAAGTACAAAAGCCAGCAGAATTTAATCCAGAATGCTCTTCTGCTGAAATTAGTACCGGGAACAGCGCAAAAAGAGGAGGACATGGATAGATTATAACTGGTTTTTTGCCTCTCGAACTGTGTAGTTGCAGTATGTCAATAATTAGAAAAGAGTTTTGTGAACCAATATTGCCTCTTTTTCGGCTGGTACGCTGTCCAGACAGTATTGTTTTCCCTCTATTATTTATCATATGAAAATATCTGCCAGACAATCTCTCGAAGTCCTTTCTGAGATGAAGCTTACTGGTATTAATTTTGCAAGTGTAAGAAACAGAGGCAAGTCTGGCATTGGTTCTGATTCCTGATAAAGTGGAAGCAGCTTTTAGCACTAGGTGTGCCATAGATTATGGAAAGGGAATTCCAAATTGATATTATCCAGTATTTTCTGTAAAATGCATTCTTGTAGGCTTTCCATGCATCATTCTCCTACTTAATAAAGAAAAAATACAGATTACAAGGGGCAGGAAGACAGATGAAATAAACTTGCCTGATCATATAAGTGGATATTAGTGGACATTTTTGACAGGGCTCACTGTACTCTAGTTACAAGAATCTGAATAGAAAGCCTCATTTGCCCTTGGTCATATGCTCATTGCAATTTTGTCATTTGCTTCTTTTCTGCAGAGACACAAAAGTGCACAGAGGATGGAAAATTAAAACAGAACTCTGTTATTGTCATGATTATTGTTGCCAGATTATAAGAAAGTGCCTATCTGCCACTTCTCCCGTATGTGCACATTGCACATGCACATGTCTCTTTTTATGTTCACTGCCTGTCCACAGCTTGTCTCATACATGCATCTCGTTATGTCTCATTATCATATTTCATTCCCATGCTCTTTACAGTGCAAAACAAGGTGTATATTTGGTTATGAAAATGCTAGAGGGGGTTGAGGGCAATTTTGCATGGGAGATGCTGTGTCAATCACTGCTCCTTCTCTTAGTCCTTGCAGATGAATTCTGGATGAACCTCAGCTGGGGTGCTTCTGGCACTGGGGAAGCTGAGATTTAGATAGCAGCCCCAGTCCCCTGGCATGTGATTCAAACACTGTTATCAAACTTGCACTGAGGGGCCTGAAGACTTCTTCCCACCATGCAGAACACTGGGTTGTTCTGTAAATCAGCATGATTTACGGGTTGCTGGGGGAAGATGGTCTTTCCCAGTTCAACTCTTTCACTCTAGGCCTACATATAATCCTTTAATTTTTTTTTTCCCAGAGGGAGGCCTGTTGCCTATTAACCAGCCTAGCTACCTAAAGGGGTGTAGGGGGAGGGAAACCACGGGCTTTTGTTCCAGCATTATGCTATCCACTGATGCTGGCTGGGTATGCCATTCCTACCCGTCATCCAGGCTCCTGCTGCAGTTTGTCCCCATGAATGTAAGTGCAGATGAACCTGCTGCTGCTGCTGCTGATCTGCTACCTGCTTTCTCTTCTGATGTGAGCTGTGTGTTTTGACCTGTGTTCAGCAGGGGATGCCATTAAACATCAGGACCAGAAAGCTGCCATGGTCTCTTGGAGGAAGCTTTCGTTTCTTGGAGGCAGCAGGGCATGCTGAAGGACTATAGTGGGGAAGCCCACGAGAGAGAAGCAGGGTAGGTGCAGAACTACTATGGGTAGAGGCAGAACTGCAAAACAGAACCCATTCAACTGGAATAGCAAAGGCTGCTGAGCAATGGTGGTTGCTGTGACCTGAGCTGTGCTTAACTGCATAAGCTACACTCCCCAGAAGAAAGTGATCCCTGAAAATGAGTGCTTAAGTCACCTGTGTGCTCACAGAAGGGACAACCAGGACTGCTGCATCCTGGGGCAACTACAAGCCCAGCACATTCATCAGCTGTTGGTAGAGACTCTTACAGAGAGATGGGACAGGAGAATGGTTGTGGAGACCTGGAAGAAGAGAATGCTTGCAGTAATAGAAGAGTAGCAGCAGGCAGGTTGGTGGGAGAGGAGGCGTTGCATTTGCTGGGATATGGATATAAAACGCACAGCTGCTAAATCAAACTGATCCCTTTGTTTGTTTCCTTTTTTTTTTTTTTTTTTAATAACGAATAGCAAGTGACTTAAAGACAGAGAAAGATAATAGTATGCCCTCCTTTATATTCCAGAGCGTCCCCCTTCTCCCTGCTGTTTGGCACAGTGCCCATTTCCAGCAGGCACTTTCAGATGCAGATTTCTCCCTGAATAGGTATGGCAGGGCTCTTTGTCCTCATCTCCCCTACCTTCATTAGAGGCTCTGCTGTTGCTATCAGAGGGACCAGGGCCGGGCAAGGAGCAGAGCAGAAAAGGCCCCCTTCATACCAATTCATTACCATACAAATGGAGGAACACCCCAGCTATGCAGAGGGCGGTATCTTTATAAAACATGCTGAAATAGCACACAAAACAACGATTACACAGCGCTTATGCACCAGTTAAAATTCACCCTGGGTAGGCTGGATAACACATATACATATAGGATAAAATGGATTCACTTCGGCTCTGCAAATGGTTCATAGATGTCTCATGAGATTGGGGCACTGCCTGGGGCATGGTGGATGTATCTGGGTTGTAACCTATCCACAGGGCAGCAAGCTGTGACAAGAAGACTGATGAGGAGAGGAGATGATCCCCCGTTTGCCTGTTGCCCTGGTTCAGGCTAAATGTTGAAAGATGAGACATCTGTGTACGTGTGGCTCAAAGGCCAGTTATCCAACATAAATGGTGTTTGGAGGTCTGTGTCAAGCAAGAAGACTCTCAATTATCAAAATTTGCTTTGGTAGGAGAGAAAATGCTGGGAAACTCATGGTTTCAAGAACTGAAAACCAAATGTGGTTTTAAAGTGCTTTTGGTGAAATACAATCTGACCTTGTGCTTAGTGAAAATAGTATATAAGAAACACTGTGAAAAGTCCATTTTTTATGAATATATTAATTCAGAAGCTTTATTGATATGTGAATAGTAACAACATATAGAAAAAAAGGATTGGCTGGTGAGAACATGCTCCTGGATGAACATGAGATGGGATGTCACACCTGCAAGACAAGGAACTGTAAGGAAGAAAGAGATTTCCTCAGGCTGTTTGGGATATGTTCCCTCTCTGC